CCTTTGCCGATTTCTACTATTTATTCAGCCTGCAAAGGAGTCTGGTAGAGACTATCCCAGCAGACAAACTCCCCCGGCATGCTATCTCTTTATTTGACCGATTTCTACTCTCCAGCCGCCTCCCGAAGCCTGGTAGAGGCTAAGCTTTTCCGTCAGCGTATAAATGTGATTTTATCGGTACAACTGAGACCCAGGTGAAGCTGTGCCAACACATTAGGTCATTATATAAGATAAAACAAATAGGTCTAATTTTTGTTATTTTGATGATGATGTTTTATTTGTTTATTTCTGATAGATTTTGCACATTTAGGCGTAACGTTGCCCCAACTTTCATATTGTAAGATTTGGCCTTGTAAACTGAAAATATTTTGTGTAGTAACATTTTCATGAGCTACGCATTTGCAATATCTATTTTAATAATCATTCATTTTTTTCATCAGTAGAAGTTATGATAGGAAAGAAATTAATCATGTTTGTATTGAATTCTTTAAGTAACATGATCAGGAATAATTATTTTCTTTAGTACACGTAGATAATCGCTCAATACTTAATTTACTGTATGAAAATACAGCAATTCTAGATCAAACGTTTGTATAAATCTTGGTGTAGGTAGAAGCGCCTCCTGTCGACTATTTTACGCACTGCAAGCTGAGGGGGTTATGACCAATACAGAATGATGTGACTTCAGATTTAGGATGTCATCAGCTTGACATATGATACTAGTATTTTATCTACAGATTTCTGTTTATGTAAAATTCAATCTGAAAATTATTAACGTTTTTTTTGTGTATTTGTGTGACCATTGTGATGACTTCAATAGCAAGGCAATAAGTTAAGTATATTGAATACATGTATATAAAGAATGTAACTTTGTAAGTTAAATGAATTAAACACATGCTATGGGAGAGAGAAAGTGAGTGAGAGATCGAGAGAGTGAGTGAGTGAGAGTGAGTGAGTGAGAGTGAGTAAGTGAGTGTGTGAGTGAGTGAGTATGTGAGTGGGTGAGTGAGAGAGAGACAAAAAGGGTAAGGGTTCAGAAGGCTTTGACTTTATTGAATACATAAATTGCAAGTTATACTTATATATTATAACAAAGATATTCATCAATAACCAACAGGCTGATGACTCTGTCATCTCATGGGTTTGGTATAATAAAAAAACTAGAAAAGTAACATTTGCAAAGCAAATGCACAATGTTTACCTTCACATTTGGTCTCTGTTAATTCTTACTCAAACACATTCACATACATATATATATGGTGACAGGAGTCTAAATCCCTCCTGCTATAAAATTGCAACATGATGTAGCCCAACACCAGTTACCATGGTGAGAGACGTCAACAAATCAGGTCATTGGCCAGGTCAGAGGTTAGTGTTTTGAGAAGAAGAAGAGAAAGAAACTGAGCAAAAACAATATGTCTTCCTTCAGTATTGAAACATTAATTTAATATCAAGTAAAAACAAGACCTATCATAATAATAGCTATACAAGGCATGATGTCCAAATTCTTTTTGTAACAAATATTACACAGACTAAACAAGCCACTGACATTCGTTCCTTTTGAAGGATGACTTCCTTTTGAAGGATGACTTCAAAATCTACACAAAATCTAACATTGTCATTGTATGACAGCACTTCACAAATAACTAATGTTATATCAAGTTTTAGCCTTTTGAAAATACAGTAATAACACATAGGTATAACTATAATTTTAGAGCATACTCTTATATATATAGCATTGCAACACTTAAGCTCCATATGGATACTTTGTGGCAGATAAATATAGACTGAAACTTTGCTTAGCTTAAGGTTTCTGCTGCATGAACTATAATAAATTGGTCTTTGCTCCTTCTTCATAATATAATATACTGTAATTGTGATCATTATTCCTAAGTTGTGAAATAATATTTCTTATTAAGAGACTTTCCCCTCTCTGTTAAATTGTTGATCTTCCAGTAGCAAGTTACTTCAAAGATACGAGAACCAACAATAAACTTGTTGTGGCCTTATAATACATCGCTGTGGCACAGTTAAGTTCTCACGACTTCCCGTCAAATCTGCAGGGAGAAAAGTTTATCACAAACTCTACCCCCCGCCCTACACCTCAATGTCATCATCCCGACCTCTGCCCCCAAATAACCTAAAACCTCTGACCCCGCGACCCCTGTTCAGCAGCTCCTGTTCGTCCTCATAGATAATCGGTCCGCGACCCACGACCCGGTCATTCTCAAGGTCATCCTCAAGGTCGTCCTCACCAAGGTCGTCGTCCTCAAGGTCGTCGTCGATGACCCCTTCGTGCTGGTTCTGGACGCCCTCGCGCCGCATGGCCTCGAAGTTGATGTTGGGGTCGGGATGCCAGGGCGCGCCGGGGTTCCGCAGGTCATCCTCCCGGTCCTCTCCATCATCCTCCTCATCCTCAGCATCATCCTCGTCCAGCTCAGGGTTCTGAGGATGCTGCACGCCGCGGTACCTGGCAGACGACGAACAACATTCACTTACCACCTTCACTTTATTTTGATGAAGGTTGGACATCCAGGTAAGGTGATACACAAGAAAACAGTTACTCAAGCAACTATAGACAGGGTTCTGCGGATGCGGGACACCGCGGTACCTGGCAGGGGAGAACTTTCACTTAATTAAATCACTTTCACCTTACGTTGATGAAGATTAGATCTAGATTAGTTATTTTCAGAATCGATCTAATTTGCCTGATTTCTTGTGTATGAGCGAGAACAACTTACACTTAATACCAATGATATCACTTTTATTTCATGTTGCTGATGAGTGCTGCTGACCGAAGTCAGTGCTACTTGAAAGGTCTGACAGCTTTCAAAATCCAGTTGCTTGAGTAACTGTTTTTTGTGTGTATCAGCAACAAGAACCTTCACTAATCACTTTCATTTTAATTATTCAAACTGCAGGTACACCTGTACATAAAACCTCTGCTAAATCAGACATTAGTTGCTGAGGTTTGGATTGAGAAGTTGACCTCTCACCTCCACTCGAATAGCCCGTACAGCCCCAGGGACAGGAGAAACGCCGACATCAGCAAACTGATCTTCACAAGCACGGAGAAACTGCAGAACAAACATTAGTCAAATTACTACGGACACACAAGCAAACATACAAACAGAGGCGCTGAAAACAAAACCTCAACACATGACGCAATGATGAGAATAACAATTAAAAACATTTAAAACTCGTTAAATCGCCTGGAGACTCAAAATCAACATTGACCTTTGTCTTCCCAAGACCTACCCACATACCAAGTATCATTACAATCCATTCAGACCTTCTTATGTTATGTTGCTCACAAATATCCTAAAACACAGACACACGCACAGGTACACCCAAATTAATGCCTCCAATTTTCATGGTGATAACATAAGGCTGCAGTACACAACAAAAGAGATAGGGGGCACACGTAACACACAAGGAAAAGAACTCTAACTTAAGTTAGTATCTCCGTACCTGTCTCTATACCAGAAGGCAAAAGACATCCCGATGATGCTGAAGAGACGGAAGTTGGAGAAGGCCACCTCCGTTCTCTTGTGGTAAAACATGATGCCAAGCAGACCTGGGCAAAACATCAAAACTTTTTGTCATTCCAGAAGTTTGTTTCTTTGTTCAGAATGACCAATGAACTGCCTAACACATGAGATTTCTACAGCAAGACCAGACTGTAACAGTAAGGTTTGGACCACTCACACCAGGAAGGATCCCTACACAGATTGATAAGCATGCTGGGACCTTTAATGTTCTAGAGGTGTGGCTGTCCTCAAACACTGAGCCTCTAGCTTTATGTCCCACCTGAGAGGACGTTCTGCTAGGTACTTTAGTACTGTATACGTACTCATTTTCAAACAAGTCAAGTTAGGATATAGAACTGGCATAAATTGCCTTTCCCAAGGGTAGAAGTTGTAGAACAGTAGTGCTTACCAGGGATTCGAACCCAGGACCTTCAGATTCTGAGTCAAAGTATGAATAAATAAAGGAAAGAATGATTACATAACAGGGGTCTCTCGAGAAATTCTTAAGGGAGAGGCACTGCCTAATTGGTTGGTGTAAAATTAGCAAATTGAAAATACAGGGAATTCCACTTATTTGTACTAAGAGAAAACCCGATGTTCAACATTTTGGGAGGGGTGCTAGGATTTTGGGGAGAGGGGAGCACCCTTGCTTCATTGCTTGGGGAGAATCTTGACGTAATCATATGAATGAATGAATGAATGAATGAATGAATGAATGAATGAATGAATGAATGAATGAATGAATGAATGAATGAATGAATGAATGAATGAATGAATGAATGAATGAATGAATGAATGAATGAATGAATGAATGAATGAATGAATGAATGAATGAATGAATGAATGAATGAATGAATGAATGAATGAATGAATGAATGAATGAATGAATGAATGAATGAATGAATGTAAAATACTTACTGTTGAGGAAGACCTGCCAGATGGCGTCGCACACGCCGAATCCCGCCACGACCGCGAAGAACGCACCGATGTCCTGCGGCACGGAGAAAGGTGTGCCCAGGTGACTCACGTCAGGTTTCTGCGCCAGGTATGACTTGGGCGTCCACAGCAGCAGGGTCGTCAGCAGCGCTGGGGGGATAGTGGAAAGTGAAAGTGAGCTTGACAGGTGACACGTCCTTCTGCAGCATGCATCATCATCATCATCATCATCATCATCATCATCATTGGTCGACCGTATTGGTCGGGGTTATACCGCCCCTTACGAGGTAGCATACCCTTTCGTTAGCTTAAGACAAGACGGGGTTCGCCACGCCTCCGTCCGGGTGATGTAATCAACATGTGGCTGATACGGAACAGAGGTTCGCCACGCCTCCGTCCGGGTGATTTGAAGTGAATCACCAACGCCATACAGTAGTGTTTGTACCATCGCACACCGGGGCATGCCCCTACTCTTTTTCGAAAGGTGTGGTCACTCACTCACTCACTGACCATCTGGTTTTAAATCACTATCCTGTTAGTAAGTTATACAAAGCCCAAAAGCGCTCACCCAGGTTGAGGACAGCCCCGACTGCCACCATGCCTATGTGCAGTAAGGCGTAGCCGACCAAGAGAGCCGGTAGCAATACTGTCCTTCACAGTATGAGTGGTTCAAACCCTACAGTCCGGTCTTTCAAAGCTTGCACTTACGCGTACAAAACTCAGGTGTGTTACGCCTAAAGGCGGTTTATCGGTTATGCGAAAACAAAAAAAAAAACTCTTACCTATGTTGAGAACAGCCCCAGTTCCCACCATACCCAGCCGCCCGACGCGAGGTAAGGCATACCCGACCACGAGAGCCGCCAGACCGCTGGTTATCCCGTAACTCGCCATGATGAACCCGGACCACATGCTGCCTGTGCCGCAGTACGCGTATGACTGTGTAGGCATACAGAGTATAGAGACATGCTTATCAGAAATAACTACCTTATACACATGCATAGTGCTGCATACCTAAATCCACATTTAGGTTCAGGTCCGGATTCAAGTCCAGAGGTTTAGGTTCAGTTCCGGACTCGTAAGTCCAGACCTAAACCCATGGCATATACAAAATTACATGTTGGCAACCTTGCAATGTTGTCTGGGTGAAACTTTGGCCACAGAACATGGAGGTTTTCTTCATTTTGCAGCAAAGATTTTGCAATGAATTTGAGGTGGTTTGGAAAGAAAAGGGGTACGTGAAGTGGTCTTTTATGGTAATAAGTCCTGACTCGGTTCTTGACTTTTAGGTTTTTTTGGACTTGAACCTAAACATTGTTACAAGTCCGGATCCAAGTCCAGTGAACCGGTACGCAGCACTACACATGTACATGTTTCAGTGTAAGCCACATTTGATGCACTCCTGACGTCATCACGCTTCTCACTTCAGGAGAGTCAGACAGTGCATCACTCAACTGACGAAGGTTGACGAGATTGACCAAAAATCGTGGTGAGTTCCCTTCTTGCGTTGAAAGCCTGCTGCATCCCCGTGAACACGATTATTCAAGGGAATCAGTAGCCACTAAGGTTATAGAGTTAGGGATCAAGGGTTAGAGTAGAGTTAGGAAAAGTGGGTTAGGGATAGTTCAGTAGACTTACATGTAGGGAGAGGGTTTAGGGTTAGGCAGGGGGTTAGGGACAGTTCAGTACTTACATCTGCGAAGTCGATGAACACCAGGGCCTGCTGCATGCCTGTGAACACGATAAGAGTTAGGGATACTTCAGTAGAGTTAGGGAGAGGATTAGAGTTAGGGATAGTTCAGTAGAGTTATGGAGAGGGTTAGAGTTAGGGATAGTTCAGTAGAGTTAGGGAGAGGATTAGAGTTAGGGATAGTTCAGTAGAGTTATGGAGAGGGTTAGAGTTAGGGAAAGTTCAGTACTTACATCAGCAAAGTCGATGAAGACCAGGGCCTGCTGCATGCCTGTGAACACGATAAGAGTTAGGGATACTTCAGTAGAGTTAGGGAGAGGATTAGAGTTAGGGATAGTTCAGTAGAGTTATGGAGAGGGTTAGAGTTAGGGACAGTTCAGTAGAGTTATGGAGAGGGTTAGGGTTAGGGATAGTTCAGTAGAGTTATGGAGAGGGTTAGGGTTAGGGATAGTTCAGTACTCACATCAGCGAAGTCGATGAAGACCAGGGCCTGCTGCATGCCTGTGAACACGATGAGGGTTAGGGACAGTTCAGTATAGTTAGGGAGAGGATTAGAGTTAGGGGTAGTTCAGTAGAGTTATGGAGAGGGTTAGAGTTAGGAATAGTTCAGTAGAGTTTGGGAGAGGGTTAGGGTTAGAGTTAGGGACAGTTCAGTAGAGTTTGGGAGAGGGTTAGGGTTAGGGTTAGGGACAGTTCAGTACTCACATCTGCGAAGTCGATGAAGACCAGGGCCTGCTGCATGCCTGTGAACACGATGAGAGTTAGGGACAGTTCAGGAGAGGGTTAGAGTTAGGGATAGTTCAGTAGAGTTATGGAGAGGGTAAGAGTTAGGGACAGTTCAGTACTCACATCTGCGAAGTCGATGAAGACCAGGGTCTGCTGCATGCCTGTGAACACGATGAGAGGAATCAGCAGCCGCAGACGCCACTCTCCCCACATCCGCGGCACCTTCGTCACGATCAGCCAGAAATAACGCTGGACCTGAGGGGAAAATGGGAAAACTGTTAAAAGCTGTTCCTGTTTTATAAGCTGCAGAATACAGTACTGAATGGACAATTGGATGATACTAAGAACAGCATAGTACAAGAGGATATTTGCCGATGATTGTTTGGTCATACTAACGATCAGGCAAGCATTTTACCTTCATCTGGTTCCGTGAGTCGTCCGTACTTCGGGTGAGTTTGCGGGTCATGAGGAGGCTGGTCGTCATGCCAACGACCCCAAAGAACAGCATGATGCTGACGATGCAGAAGGTCACGAGCGCGCTGTCGATGAAGGGCACCAGACACTCGTTTCTCCGCTCCCCCCAGCTGCACAACGCGTCGTAACGGTTGTTTCTGCTCCTGAGAGGTAAAAACGTAATGGTTAAGGTGTCCTCCCTGGCTAATTTGGCATTTTTAACTTTTTTAATCATTTTGTCACAAAGAAATTCAGAAAAAAACTGTAGTTGTACTGAATATTGATACCTGGGTACAAAAGGGTTGTGAATATGATTTTATGGACCATGTGGATGACGTCATCATATTTTATTGCCCCAAAAGTAATTATCTTTAAAGTTATAATACAGCACTTTGGTATAAATAACTGCAATAAAAGTATGATTTTCATGTGCATAATGGTCAAAGCTACAAACGTACGTTTGCACATTCAAATTGATATCTACTAATAACCTGTAGTTATTAGAGAATAACCTAATTGCCTAATTAAAATCTAGCTATTCTCTAATAACTACGGGTAATTAGTAGATATCAATTTGTGCAAACGTACATACGTGTTTGTTTACATGTTTGTTTGTTTGTTTACTTACCCACAGGTGAGGTTTCCGACCTGGTCTCGTAGCGTGTAAATGTCCATGGTGTCGTTACGTGTTTGTTTACATGTTTTTTTGTTTGTTTGTTTGTTTACTTACCCACAGGTGAGGTTGCCGACCTGGTCCCGTAGCGTGTAAACGTCCATGGTGTCATTGCGTAACACAAACTGCAGAGAGAAGGCCAGGTTTTCCCATGTGGGGGCCATCTGAGGAGAGAAGTCAGCGATTAACTTTCCAATCAATCAATCAATTAATCAATCAATTAATCAACAATAAGCATGGTTACAGAATCAGATCAGGAAAAGATCAGGTAAGGAGTTTTCTTATGGTGGATGAAAGAACACTGGTGAACTCACTAAGTGACTTAGTATACTGCTTTCCAGTTGTTTCCAAATAAAAATCATCGTTCGAAGTTAAATTGTAGCCAAACAAGCTGATACTTAACTTGTGATGGACTCAGCAGCAGTATAATTTAAGATGCAATGCAAGAAGAGTTGGGTGTTTTGCCGAAGTCCTCAACTCACCCCTACTTCACAAGGAGGTGAGGGAGGCCGAAAGATCTATAATCTCTTGTGATCAAGACATATAATAGCTGTCTAAAATTAGGAGGTACGTGTTTGCTTACTTTTCAAAACAGCCACAGTTTGATGAATATTTTACTAAGTGTTAATTTATATGTTACTCATGAACCTCTTCAATGACGAAGGGTTAATTTTTCACCTGGAAGAGGAAGAAGAAGATGCCGTTGAACCTGCAGATGAAGGTGTCCTGGTGGCCGACGGTTGGGGTCAGCCGGCCGTACCGGATGGCGGTCAGAGTGACCAGGCGACCCTGCGAGGCCCACACCGGCCCCGTGGCCACTCCAGCCAGCACCGCCGCTGTGCTCTGCGTGTACTGGTTATCCGGCATGTAGTATAGGGCAGTGAAGATGCTGATAAATCCTGGGAAGTACAAGTGATATTGTATTTAAGTTATACTGTACTTTGTATTTATGCATTTATGTGTCAGTGGTAGCCGCTACCAGCCTTGTTGCTGCCTGGTTGCCACTTGTCATGCACTGTTGCATTTAAATAAACAAACAAACAAACAAACAAACAAACATCATCATTAGATTATTAAGCTTTAATTACGATGTTTCCTCATGTAGGCATCCTTCTCTCTCGAAAAATGATGGTAGCACTCTAGGACTGTGGCTGTGCGCTGCGTTTGCTAAATTCAATAAAGCACCTAAAGCACAGTAAATGTTTAGAGTTAGTTGTTCAATGGTGTAACAAGTCGTTCGGCATACTGTAACCGCGCCGCGTGCCTGTAAAGCTGGTGTGTTATGCCAAAGGGTGGTTACACTCAGGCTATTATATATGGATTACAGCGGCTAAAAAGACCTGATTTCGCCTTACGAAAAAGGGGCATGCAGGCCGGGAAACTCACCGAGTCCGAGGAAGGAGACCCACTTGGCGCCGATCCACTTCACGGGAACGATGGCGAAGAAACACGACGCGGCGCCGAAACCGAACAGCATCGACGTCGTGTCGTGCCCGCGACCTTTGGCCTCGTTCAGGATGCGCTCCATGTTGAGAACGCCGTGGTGACACGCGTAAACAAGCATGAACCCCAACGACACGCCCCAGATTGAGCTGCGGGGAGCAACAGGGAACATTTCTCCACACTCTTGACTTTATTTAGGCCACGCCAATTCATTTTGTTGGTTCTCAGACATTTTAGTTCAAAAGATAGCAAGTGGACATCATAAAATGAGAGGGCTAGGAAGAAAAGTTGAATTTGACTGAGTGTGCTTTTTCCAGCTGAGCCACACCAAACGTTTAATTTGCTGTTATAAAATTATTATTGCATGACATTGTGACTGTGATTTATTAGATAATCTAAGTTGTGTATATACATGTATCTGGCTTTAACTATTTATTGTTGCTTCTATGTCATATGTGGTGTATGTGTTAGGTGTGCATGCAGCATACTTGCTGCCTAGTGCTTACTTTGTATTGTTGTGTTACAATTTCTTAATAAATAGATAAATTATGGGCACAAAGACTGTCTTACATGTAGAGCCTCTTGCACTTCCTCCTCTCCTCTTTCCTCTTCACCTCCTCCTCATCCACAGGCTCCTGCCCCTCCTCCTCCTCCCCCTCCTCCCCGGGTACCGCAGGGGGGTCCCCATCCTGGTACCCCCCCTCCAACTCCGCCCCCTCACCAGCCTCTCCATCATGGGGCTCTGCATGGGGGGATGATGATTATAAATTCCGGAAAATTTTCACTGCTGATGACAAATTCCTTTGATTTTTGTTTGTTTGATCTATAATATTAGGATCTTTACAGTTCAATTTAGGAGCCAAACTGTGACACTGATGAAAAAATGTTTACAGATAATAAAAATAGACCTGCAAGTCAACCATGTCAGATAAACAAAATACATTGTCAAAATATGCCTCAGGATGGGATATTTAGCACCTTAAATCTAGCATTATTCTTCCTAGAGTCCACTACAATATAATACAGTCAAATTTAAAAAAAAGAACAAGATCTTTACAATTACAATTAAAATTAATCATGTTGAATTCTCAGCATTGATAACGAATTATGAGGCTCGAGGCTTGAATCACATTGATTTTGGGCTGCTGCCTACGAATTACCAAGACCTGAATTACACAAAATTGTCACTGTCAATTATGCATTATGTTCAAATCTCTGAGCCGACCTCAACTAGGCTTGAGTGACGAGTGGCTGTCTACAAATTTATATATAATATAAAGACAAAAAAGTGGGGTCGTGTGGCGTAGCGGCAGAGTGCTCGACTCGGAACCAAGAGGTCCCAGGTTCTAGTCCTGACATGTCACCGAACTTGTGCCCTCGGGAAAGGCACAACTTTCCTCACTTAACACAAGTGAAAATGAGTATTGTCTGTCCTGTACTTGTCTCTATGTGTGGGACACAACACCACCAACAGCTGCCTGTGTCCCACATGTATTGTACTGTTACAATCTCAATAAATCAAATCAAATGAATCAATCAAAACACCTGATTTTATATGCCTTAAAATGCCTTACTGCTGATGACAAATTCCTTTGATTTTTGTTTGTTTGATCTATAATATTAGGATCTTTACAGTTCAATTTAGGAGCCAAACTGTGACACTGATGAAAAAATGTTTACAGATAATAAAAATAGACCTGCAAGTCAACCATGTCAGATAAACAAAATACATTGTCAAAATACATTGTCACAGGGCTCTTACCATCTTCCTGGTCGTCCTGCAGTTCCAGATGGCCATTGGGTAGGTGGCGATGTTGTATTTCCTCGTCGTCTAGCTCAGCGTTGATGTCTGCAGGACCGTTCTCATCCCCCGGGAGGCGCTGTTGTACTACTTCACCATCATCAGGCTCAGCATTGATGATGAGATCTGCAGGACCGTTCCTATCCACCTGGGGGCGCTGTTGCACTGCCTCGTCGTCAGGCTCAGCGTTGATGTCTGCAGGACCATTCCCATCCAATGGGGGGCGCTGTTGTACTGCCTCGTTGTCAGGCTCAGTATTGATGTCTGCAGGACCGTTCTCATTCAATGGGGGGCGCTGTTGTACTACTTCCTCGTCATCAGGCTCAGCATTGATGATGAGATCTGCAGGACCGTTCCTATCCACCTGGGGGCGCTGTTGCACTGCACCGTCATCTAGCTCAGCGTTGATGACTGCAGGACCGTTCCTATCCACCGGGGGGCGCTGTTGCACTGGCTCGTCATCGATGTCTGCAGGACCAATCCCATTCACCATGGGACGTCGGTGATGATGCTGTACATCTCCGTTCGGCAAGTGGCGCTCTTGCTCTTCCTGTTCCCCAGCCTCCTCCTCCTCCTCCTCATCTCTGTCTGCATGGACGATGATCTCCCCATCTGGGTCCATAGCTGTCAGTGTGATGGGTTCTAGGGGAGACAACACAGTCAGTACTGGTCACAGCAGATATCGTACCCAGAACCGTGCCTATCTAGTTCTATATGGGTTAGGGTTAGGCACAGTTCTGGATAGTCTCTATTGTATCCAGAACCTTGCCTGTCTAGTTTTCTGCTTGCATGGGTTAGGGTTAGGATCAGGCACGGTTCTGGATAGTCTCCGCATATCCAAGAACGTTTAGATTTACCTTTGGTACGGTTCTGGATACAACACTGAGATCACACAACGCATTCCTCCAACACACAAACCCCAATTATTACTCCGTGAAGGAGGTCAGGACCTCCGGACGGAGTGTTGTGATCGGCTGATTTTTCATGTTCGCAGTCAAAACACTGGGTTCTCTTTGTGTAATCGGCACGCAATTTTATAGGCCGTCTGCGGGCATGCCCGTGTTGATGCACGAATGTGTATTTTTGCCGTTGCTGCTTTCGCGGTCAATGTAATATTGCAGACGCACCCCTACAATTACGAGGCGAATTGGAATGGTCCAGAAAAACGCGTTGTTTGGAATAGCAGTGGGGGGGTGGAACTTCATGCAGATACGGGGTGGTTTTGATAAGTGGTTCCAGATGTTTTTGCCCATGCTTAAGAGATGCCAAGTTTTTTGGAAGATGTTCGCAGCCAAAACGCATTCTTCCGTACGTCGTATTTCTGTGTAATTTCGCATGTGGTGTGGCATTATGTCCGGGATGATGCACGTCTTTTTATTTTTACTGTAGCTGTTTTGATATTGAAGTAAATGCATATTTTAGAAACATCCCTACTTTTACAATCCTGTGGAATAGGCCGTAGGTTTAGGCAGTTGTCTGGTAGCAGAGGTACTATAAGCAGATATCCTGGTTATCTGGCCGGCGGTAGTAACACTCACGGTGCTTACCGCAACTGTTGCTGGAATTTGGCCTGTTACAGGCGCGCTTAATTAGGTACAGGCACGGTATGACGTAGCCTGGGTGCCATTCTACTTGTATGCCGGGGCTCCCACACTCGCTTCCCTAACAGGTGGGGCTGTCTTTGTTACTAGACACGACCATGATAGTCCGATCTTTATGTGAATGCAATGATTGTGTGTGTGTAATTAAAATGAACTTCGAACTTGAAGCACAGTATCTTTACACGCCCTGGGAGCAGTAATGGATTTAGCTCTTTGTATGTTTTATGCTTGTGACGCGCCCTCATTGTATTAACCGTTGCCTAATTATAATGTCTGCATAGTAGGTCTGGCGTTGACGCTTGGGATTTTGTTGAAATATATAAAACTTCACGGAGGATTGTCACCTATGGCTTCTTGTTTTATTTCGGTGTGAAATGGGAAATGGATCTAGTTCCTTTGTTTCAGTATGCTTAATTATGATTACAATTATATAACATTACATTTCGTGAATATTGTATATCCCCGTGATCATAAGTATCAAGTCATGAAGTATGAACATTATAATTATGAACATTCTTACCCATAAAGGCATACATTTTCTTTTCAATAATCACTGTTAACTGAACCCTGTTTATTGCATGTGGGACTATATCCATTATCCACTGCCTTCAAAGAAGAAGTCAAACCTCAATTAAAAAAAGTCCTCATAATAGCTTAATGTGTAATTTACAATGTTGATAAGATCAGTTTTCTTGATAGCAGTTAAACGTGTATGTAAATAATAGTTAATGTATTTTATGAAAAGGACTCCAGGAAGAATAGCGATGTATCATCACTAATGGAGCTTCCTAAATAAACAAACAAATAGCATGCGTAGTAGTATAGAAGTTTTTCCAGACCGTAGTTGTCTCTTTCCTAGTATTGTACTATATATAAGAGTGTCTTTGACTGTAAAAGCAATTAGCTTCGATCATGATTTTGCAAATAAACATTTTTATTAAACCAACCACCCTCCCACTCAAGCTCCTGAATCATTGCCAAAACGTTGTCAGGTTCCTGTTTCTATAACCAAGGAGCTTTCATCACAAATTCTCATGCAACATTTCTCCTTTACTAGTGATCAACAAAGCTGACTTTTAACACGCCACCAGGTACTGTTCTATCCTTTCAAAAACAGTTTCCACATCGTAAAATCGGAAATGTTCCCTACTTCCCGTTTCTATAATACTATTTCACAGCAGACGAATTATAATGATATAACGCTACCTGTTTGACTGGCAAAAAAGAAAGCTGGATAAAAACGCCTTAAAACACGTCAAAAATCAAGCTGAAGCCTAAAGTTCTAGTCTCCACCAGACTCCTTTTGCAGGCTGAATGAATAGTAGAAATCGGCCTAAAAAGGCGATATAATTGTATAATTGGCCAGGGAAGGTATCCGGCCATCGAGGGTCCAATGCATACTAGTAGCCAATTACTAGTATACCCCCCTTTAGGCCAATTTCTACGATTTATTCTGCAAAAGGAGTCTGGTGGAGACTACGAAAGCTCTGCTTGAAGAGTAGAAAGTCTAGAAATACCTTCTGGTAGGACGTAATCAGAGTCAGTCGTGTTGAGACGATAGAGATTTCAACTTCCTTGTAGTGACGTATTTAAGACGGCCCAACTTGTCCCAAGAAGGTCTTCTTTCCCCACAAGGTTGCTCGTCCCAAGTCTTTACCAGTCAGTTTCTTTCTCAAGTTCTCAACAGAATTTCAACAGAAACCGATCCAAGAACGAGAAGTCACAGTGGTGGCAGAAACGCACGTCAGCTCAGATACTAAAGACCATGCTCCTTTCGGGAGAAAGCGGAACTATCAAATTAAAACGTGCTATGATACAAACGACAAAGTTCCGCACGACAGACCGACTTCCGAGCGCCACAGAACGCTCACAGAACGTCACAAAACGTCCAAGATATCCTCCAGACTTCAGACAAGAGTCGACTTGCCTTGAAACAGGCGGTCAGGGTACAATTATTACTCCAAAATCCGCGCGTATGGTCCAGTATTTGCTCGGGGAATATTTGTCGTCAATACCGGGAAGTGCGGAAGTCGAGAGTTTCAGGCCCAATCGTGCGTGATCCGAGAGACGAGCGCTGATTGGCTGGTGGGAAGGAGAAGAGAGCGCTGATTGGTCGGTGGGGAGGGAGAGCAGAGCGCTGATTGGTTGGTAGTGAGGGAAACCCCCAGTGGGGGCGGTGGTGTCGATTACACATCTCCAAGCAGATGTTAGGAAGGACATCCAGGCGTGCCAGAGTATTGCACTGTATACTAGTAAAATTGAACTGTATTCCGTAAAATTGCAATGTTTTCCGTAATATTGCACTGTATACTAATACCATCACATTGTACTACTACTATATAACGTTAATGTTATTTGTTGTATGTACGTTTTTTTCCGAATAAACCCTGGAAAGATTTAATAGCCTTTTGGCTAAAGGGTATCGGAATAAAGAGAATAAAGAGAAGAGTCTTGTGTTGGCATCTTCTGTTTCGAAAGACAATGGAGTCAATCCCGTTTTTAATTGGGGTATGAACAAAATAAAAAAGAGGGAAAACTAGACAATAGAGAGGAAGTTTCTTAACTATTTTCTTTTTTTTCTCTAACTTTTCGACGTTATTGAGACAAAGGCAAAGGGAAGGGAAAAAAAAAGGATGTGCCAAGCTACCCACGACAGGTTCCACCAACTTGAGTCAATCCGCGCAATGGATCAGTTCGTGGTTAAGTGACAGTCTAGCATACAGCGTCGATATTGGGAGTACCAGGTATTTCAACCCTTAGCCGAGTTCTCCTGACCTTTGCCCTATGACGTCATCTTGGCGGGAGTTGGGAAGTCGTCATTAAAACTCCCAGAACGTCCTGCATGGTCCTGGAGCCACGCGATGTCTCAGGTTGGTCCGTTAACTTTCTTATAACTACGCTCTGATAACTTCTCACGCTGTTTGGAAATATAACCGTTCAACTAGATATTCCGTTTCTGACGAAAAGTAGTGGATGCTTCTATTAAACTTGAGTAGCAATTGTTGCTTGAATAGCAGTTTTCTTGTGAGTATACTTACTTTCCTCTATCCTCCCACTTCCACTTCTACCGTCTGGGGTGTCTGGGAGGGCAGTGGCGGCCGACGGCTAGCCTGGGTACCATACGGATTTTCGCTCCGCAACGCTCCAAAACTCAGATTTTTCCGAGCGTTGCGGAGCGAAAATCCGCATGGTACCCCGGCGGCAGGCTAGCCGACGGCTAGTCTGGAGGCTGTTGTGACATACCTAGTCAGGGTGTCCTTCACACTCTCTATCCGTCTTCCTGGGACGTCCCCTGGCCTTAGTATTTCCAGATTTTCTGTTGCTATATTCTCTCACGGTGTGGTGGCATCCTTACGACTAGCCAGGTGTCCAAACCACTTGTTGTTTGTTGTTGTTCAATGACCCGTTAAACTGGTTTAGAACTACCATCTACAATCTGATTCTGGTGTTTCTGATTTTGTCACGTCTCTGCCGGTCCTGCTGACAACTCGTCTCAGGCACCTCATTACACATGTGATGATTTTTCGTCTGTTCCAAGGGCAACATTCAAGGTCCAAGTGTGGCACTAATATGTAGGTGTTGGCAGAAAGATGGAGTTGATAAAATAAGTTAGCTTTTGTTTCTGTGGGGATACTGGCCATAGGAGCGGAAAAGTTGGTATATTACAGTACTGTTTGCTTTTTTGGACTCTGGTCTCTACATGTATATATCTCTCTATCCAGTTTGCCATCTTCTGTGGACATACTGCTGAGATATTTGAATTCTGTAACCTATTTCAGACTCCTGTTGTTAACCTTCGGATGTCAAGGTTTCCAGATGTCCTGTTGCTTTTCAGACTTCCTGTTTTGTTGAGGTTGATATTCATGTCGTAGTCCTCACTAGCAGTGTCAATAGTAGAGGGTATCGGAATAAAGAGGTGATCGGTGTCCAGGAGCAAAGACATGGAACTTAACGGTCTTAAAGTTCCTTGCCTAGCATTCTGAGCTGCTCAGTGTGGGCTAGTCCATCACAGAGAGTTGAAGGGGTGTTCCCCTGGCTATTATTACTGATAATACAACATAGACAT